TGTGTAATCAGAGGTGACTTGATGAATAGTTACAGTTCATCCATAGCATCTTTGTTCCCAGGAGAAAGAAAACAAATCATGATTTATATGATCATCACCAGGGAGCCTCTGACCTACAAAGAGTGTTTGGGTCAAAGCCAGGGCAAAGAGCAAGCGCTTGGTCTGGGAGCACTTTTCTGCAGCTGTCACCGTGGTCGGGGCTAGAGCTGGCAGGGGTCTGGGAGGCAGAGGTCTCCCCCAAGACCCCTCCTCTCCCCTCTAGGTAGTGTTCCCCACAGCAGAAATGATGCCCAGCCTGGCCCGTACTTGGCAGGACCTGGACACGCGAGGCCAGTCATGGGCCCTCCTGGTGGCTGGTCCTCCCAGGCACAGGGAAGGATCATAAAGTTCAGCAATGGCTGTGCGCCAGGCACCAGGCCCGTGCTCAGGGCTCTGCAAGCACTTCTCAGGCGCTCCGCACAAGGTCAGGATGACGACTTTTGCCCCCATTTCATGGATGGGTTTGGGAACACAAAGAGACAAGAAGCAAGACTGTGGCACAGCTCAAAGGCACAGGACTCGAGCCAGGTCCTCCTTTAGCGAAGCCGGGGCCCTCCCTGCAGGTCCTCCTGTGACTGTGCCCCAGTAGCTGGCAGAGTGTTCCTGAGTTCCCAACAGGGAGGCCTGCAGGGAAGGGCAGTGGTCTGTGCGGTGGAAGGGAGGGAGGCAGTGGGACAGACCAACCAAGAGCAGAAGGGGTGCAGACGTGGCACATTTGGAGTCGGAAGCAGGCTCTGCATCAGACACAGCCTCAGATCGGGGCTCTGCCTCTTTCTCATAGAGTGATCTTAGCTCTCTGTGCCTCAGTTTCTTCATCTGTACCAGGATAACAATGCTAACACCTGTCCTGTAGGGTTGTTACAAGGACCAGCTGAGAGAACGTGTGTGTTATACTCATCACAGTGCTTGAGACAGAGTAATCATTCAGTAAATGGTGGCTGCTATCACTATTATTATTATTATTTACTACTATTACTTTTATTAATTCCTCTCTCCAGTGATGGGAATTTTGTTTCTGTTCTTATTTATTTGTTTATGTATTTTAGAGGCAGGGTCTTGCTCTGACACCCAGGCTGGAGTGCAGTGGTGTGATCACAGTTCACTGCAGCCTCAACTCCCTGGACTCAAGTCATCCTCCCTCCTTAGCCTCCTGAGCGGCTGGGACTACAGCTGTTCACCAACGCACCTGGCTAATTTTTGTTTTGTTTGTAGAGATGGGGGGGGGGGTCTCTCTATGTTGCCCAGGCTGGTCTCGAACTCCTAGGCTCAGGCAGTCCTCCTGCTTTGGCCTCCCAAGGTGCTTGATTCCAGGTGTGTGATGGGAATTTCATTTGGGTCCTTATGCTCATCCATATCTTTGTAATACTCCCCAGTGACTGTGAGAATGCCCAGTGTTCTTCTTGCCCTCAGGCCAAGGTGGAAGGGGATGTTCAGCCAGGACCCCCTCCCACCCAGCCCATCAGCATATCTGCCCCAGGTTCTGGGGTATTCCAAGCTGGAGGCTCTGACTCCATAATGGGGCGCATGAGTGCAGATGCAAATACTAATAATAATGGTGACGAGCTCCAGCACTTACTGAGGGCTCATTCTGTGCCAGGAACTTGGGCTGGGAGTGCCAGCCAGCAGCCCTGCAGGAGGCTGTGGGTACCACTGCCCCCTGCTGCTCAGATCCTGCTTGGTGCCAGCTTCTCAGACCTTCTCCGGCTGGCTGGGCACCCCTGGGTCATGGATCTCTGCCAAGTCGGGGGTGCTGGGAGAGCAGAGCTCACTGCAGGTCTGGACCCCCGCAGCTGTGCACACCACTGTGGGCCTCTGCAGAAAGAACCCAGTGGGCCCCTACCGGCCCCCAGTCCCCAAGACCCCAGCATTCACTGTGCCTTGGTTACGGGGTGAATAATTTAGGCTGCTGAGTGTTGGTCATGAAATATTAATCAGCCTGTCCTGATGCACCAGCATGTGAGTGTGCGTGGGGGTGATGCTGGCACTGGGGTGTGGAGGCCGGCAGCCATGAGCCAGCATGTTTCTGAACATAGATACGTAGCTGGGTCTTCTGTCTGCCTCATCTGTGTCGACGGGACCCTCTCTGGATCACCAGGCATGCTGCCTGCTCCCCGCACCATCATGAAGTGCCAGGCCCAGCATCAGCCCCAGCAAATGGCAGCCCTGTGTCTAGGGAGTAGGGACGGGGGAGAAATCAGTGAGTGAGGGTCCATGGGGGCTGCAGACAGCCTTGGGGGTCTCAGGAGTCAGGGAAATGGACAGAGAACCAGGGCTTTAGGGACAGGGAGATGCCAGCTGGGAGGGTCTCAGGATGTGTGTGAGAGGGAGGGAAAGGGCACACGTGACAGGGGTCAGAAGAGGGGCTAAGTCGTGTTGGGAACAAGAGGGTGGAGGGCAAAGGGGGGTGGCCTGGTACACGTTGATGGGCAGGCAACAAGTGGATGGGTAGTTGGATGGTTGAGCGAGGGATGGATGCGGGGTGGAGCATGTGGTTGATCTGGGGGGTGATAGACTGGGGGAGGTAGATGGGCAGGATGTGAAGTCCTGTGAAGAATTGGCCTCCTGGGCACAAAAGGTGAATTGGAACCCAATAGGCCCCCAACCTAGAACTTCTCCTGGGTCTGGGGGTAGGTTGTGGCTCCACCTAGTGTCTTTTGGTGGTAACTGCACCCTGGGCTGTTCACATCCAGCAGCCCAGCAGCCAGGACAGCTTTCCTGGTCCCCTTAGGCCCCCTCTAGGCTGGGAGAACAAGGCCAGTGACAGCCGAAAGCTAGGCCCCAGGAGAAGCCCCTGAGACACGTTCCATCTCTTCACTCCCTGCATGCCCATATTGTCGGCCAGGCTCTGCATCACACATACAGATGGGTGTTCAAATGCCACTTACCAGCTGTGTGACCGAGGAGACAGCTGAGTCTGTGCCTCTGTTGTGCGACTATGGGTGATGGCACAGAGTCCGGGGCCCTCCAGCCCCACCTGTGAGCCTCCCCAGCTGCAGCTGTACCATTGATTGAATTCTGATTCTGGCAGGTCCCCTGCTAGGTGCCTTACCGGAGTAATCTCAGTTGATGGTCGTAGTAAATTAATAAAAATAGTTGATGGCCAGATGCGGTGGCTCACGCCTGTAATCCCAGCACTTTGGGAGGCCGAGACGGGCAGATCACTTGAGCTCAGGAGTTCGAGACCAGCCTGGGAAAGACCTCATCTCTACCAAAAATACAAAAATTAACTGGGCCTGGTGGCACACGCCTGTAGTCCCAGCTACTCAGGAGGCTGAGGCAGAAGAATGACTTGAACCCAGGAGGTGGAGGCTGCAGTGAGCCAAGATTGTGCCACTGCACTCTAGCCTGGGCAACAGAGCAAGACCCAGTCTCAAAATAAATAAATAAATGAATAACAATATGGCATTCACTGGGTACTTTACTAACCATGGCAAGACATGGCCCTAGCCTCAACTACCCCCCACGAAATAAGAATGACAATAGGACTTAAGAATAACCTGGGCCGGGTGCGGTGGCTCCCACCTGTAATCCCAGCACTTTGGGAGGCCAAGGCAGGTGGTTCACTTGAGGTCAGGAGTTTGAGACCAGCCTGGCCAAGATGGCGAAACTGGGTTTCTACTAAAAATACAAAAATTAGCCAGGCATGGTGGCACATGCCTGTAGTCCCAGATGCTTGGGAGGCTGAGGCAGAAGAATGGCTTGAACCTGGGAGGCAGAGGTTGCAGTGAGCTGAGATTGAGCCATTGCATTCCAGCCTGGAAGACAGAGCAAGACTCAGTCTCAAAAATAAAAATAAAAAAAGAAGAACCTGCCTGCTAGTGCCATAGCCCACAGCTAGCATAGCCCAGAGCTAGCACAGCGGAAACATTCAGTACATAGTGGACATCTCGCGGGCTGCCAGATTAACAAAAACAGCAACAACAAAACCCAGGACATTTGACTAGCTTTGAATCTTAGATAAACAAGCTGTATTTTAGTACAAGTATGTCCCATGCAATATTTGGGATATAGAATACTAAAGCATTATCTGTTTATCTGAAATTCAGATTGAAACTGGATGAACTGCATTTCGTCTGGTAACCCTAACCACCCTGCCCTCTGGGAACTCAGTCTTCTGGGGGAGGCAAAGGTCAAAATCAGTTATGGTCAACCAAGCATGACAGGTCATGCTCATAGCAGCCCTGGGCAGTGTGGGGCGGAGGCCAGCAAAGGGGAAATAAATCAGGGTGGCCCTCATGGAGGAGGGATGGGGACTGAATCTTCAAGAGGGAGGAGGATGGAAGGGCATTCCAGATGGAGGCGGCACACGATGAAAGGGATAGAGGTCAGACACAGCAGGTGTGGGGACTCATGGTGACAGTGGGTGAGAGGGGTGGAGAGGACAGCTCACCACATCTTTGTAGACATTGGTTAAAAAGTGGGACTGAGGCTGGGCGTAGTGGCTCACGCCTGTAATCCCAGCACTTTGGGAGGCTGAGGTGGGTGGATCACGAGGCCAGGAGTTCGAGATCAGCCTGGTCAACATGGTGAAACCCCCTCTCTACTAAAAATACAAAAAATTAGCCAGGCGTGGTGGCACATGCCTGTAATCCCTGCTACTCAGGAGGCTGAGGCAGAAGAATCGCTTGAACTCGGGAGGCAGAGGTTGCAGTGAGCCAAGATCAAGCCACTGCACTCCAGCCTGGGCGACAGAGCTAGATTTCATCTCAAAAAAAAAAAAAAAAAAAGTGGGACTGAGGGCAGGGCAGTGCTGGGTCGGACGCTCTCAGGCGCCTCTGAGGGAGGGTGGCTCAGGACTAAGTCCAGGGGAAGCCTCAGGGGCGGCAGCGGGCCGGTGACAGGGCCCTCTCCCACCCACTCTCCCTGACGTTCAGGGCTCCCCGGGAGGGGGCGGGGGGCGTAAGGAGGCCTCAGAGAGGGTGAGGCGCTGAAGGCCCAACGTGGGCACTGTGTCTCCTCAGGGGAGTGAATGCCCAAACCAAGAACGGTGCCACGCCCCTGTACCTGGCGTGCCAGGAGGGCCACCTGGAAGTGACGCAGTACCTGGTGCAGGAATGCGGCGCAGACCCGCACGCGCGCGCCCTCGACGGCATGACCCCG